CTTAATTGTGGTGTTAAGGTCATCATTAAGATTTCTGTCATCTTTGTGTTTTTATAGTCGTGTGTATTTAGTGAATATGCTTTTCGAACTAGTGTTTCGATTCGTACTGCTAATTGCTTGATGGTTTCGTTTGGTAATCTGCGAATTTCATTACATAAAACTCTTTGTTGTTGTTTGTTTCTTTCGGAGTCAAACATTTTTGAAAATTCCTGTGTAAACCTTTTCCAATTTGATTTTATTTCTGGAGGTAATACTGAAAACCATTTTTGGGCTGCGCCATCTAAGGTTGTTTGTATCAACGCTGTGCGTCGATGTATCCAGTTTTGATGTAGTGGCGTATTAATTGGTTCAGGTCCAATGTTTAAAATCAAGTTTGCTGTTACTGCATTTAAATAATCTTCTACAGAGTATTCAGGGTCTGTTCCTGTGAAAACCATTAAAGGTTTGTTTGATGTTATTGATGATCCACCCATAAGGTATGGATTCATTGTCATTTGTAATGATTCTGCTGCATTTGGCATTTGAGAAAAATTTGAAAGTTGGTTTCTTGTTATTTCATGTTGTTGAAGATAATATGGGAGTGGTATTTCATTTTGCATTTGTGTTGGTTGATACGAGTGTGCAATCATTGGATTTTGTTGTTGAATTGGTTGTTGATGTTGTGTATCTATCGGTTGTGGAGAAAAAATTCTATGATTTGTATGTGGTTTCTGTACTCCTTGTCCACGATATTCTTGAGTATATGGTGCAAATATGTCTGGTTGTAAGAAATCATCATCTGAGGATAAATAATCCATTTGATAAGATGTCTGTTTTTTTTATTTTTATTTTGTTGAAAAAATGGGTAATTTTCACTGCGATCCTGTGGAGGATTTGTTTGGAAATTTACTGAATTAGGTTGGGCCATTGGGTTATCCCAGTTTCGAGATCTTGTATATTGGTTAAAATTTCTTCGTGGTTGATAATTTGTTTTTGATGGATGTGTATAATTATAATTATGGTCTGCAAAGTTGTTTCTAGTGAATGTTTTGCGTGTTTTTGGTGGTATTGTCATGGGTCTGTATGTTTGGTAATCCATATGTGAATATTTTGGGGCAACTGAAGGTTTAACGGTTGATTGTAAGGTTACCTGTGTTTGTGAAGGATTTGTATTTCTTGGTGTTGTTAAGTTTGGACGTATTGGTGAAATACTTTGTTGTGTAGTTGTTGTGTGTACAATTTCTTCATTTATGAAGTGTGATGGTGTCTGGATATCTTGTTGAGTAAGATTCCTAGTTCCATTGAGGTTTTCATTGTGTATGACTGTAGAGTTTAAACTATTATTTTGTGTATCGGGCAAAAATGTTTTATAGTTCAATGGTGTTGCATCAATGGTTAATGGTATTACTCTTACATAATCTCTTATGTAAGATATCGTACTTATTGCTTGACTTGAGATTGATTGTGGGAAGCTTATAAATGCGTGATGAGACCATTCGGGGTCCCAAACATAGTCTGATTGTTCTGTGATAGCGGTATCATCGTTCGAGTTTTGGGGTCTAAAATTTTTTCTTGCTTGTGCAATTAAATCAATATTGTGTGTGAAATAATCTATTATGAACCATGCCAAAATTTTTTGTAGATCGTGTTTTGTATGTTGTGAAACTTCGTCTTTCGTGAAATTTTCTTTAATGATGTTTAAATAACTAGAGAGTAGTGTGATTTCATGTCGTACTCTTATATGTTTAGATGTTTCTGTCGGTGAGACATTTGGTATTGGGATTTCGTTTTCTAATATCGAGATATAACTATATATTATTGCGAAAACTTCATTGGTGAATATGGAGTTTGCTCTTTGTGAGTTATGATATTGGATGCTTTTTATATATTCTGAAAATACTTTTGAAAATTCTAAATCAAGATCGTCTGTTTGAATTATATATTTACTATGATTATGGTTTGGTGAGGTGAATTCTATGGAGTAGATTCCATACTGTTGTGTTAAGTTACATATATCTTTTAGATAGTGATCTATGATTTGTCTTTTGATTTTTACATCTGGGAACTCTGTTTTACATGGACTGATTCCGGGTTCAAATAAGTTTAAGAGTAAATTTTTGCAAAATATATGTTGTCCTCTATCAGTGGTTGCATCTACTATAAAAGGGAAGATTTCATCATCATCTGGACTTTCGTCACCTGGGGTGTGCGTTGAGCTCATTTTTTCGTTCGATGACTGTTAATATGTAATTATTAATGTGTCGAATTGGTTGATTTCAATTGTATAAATGTACTGGTTTGTGTTTATACTGCTTTTTTATTCTTCTTTTCCCTCTTTTTGATGAATTTGAAGTTGTTTCTGAGTCAGAGAAATATAATTGATCGTTAATTGGGCAATTTTTATCTATTGATTCTTTTAGTTTGTAAAGTTCGTCTAAACTGTTGGTTTCTGATTCTGAAAATGCGTTTCGGTTTTTTGAAAATCTTTTTCGTGTTATTTGTCTTTGTTTAGTTATTATTTTTCTCTTTAGTGTTTGTCGTTTTGTTCGAATGTATCCAACTGTTTGTGTATGAGGTGTGATTACAAGGTCGTATTTTTTGTTATCTATTTCACAATTGTGTAAAACGATTGTTTGTTTATTTCCTAGGTTTTTAAATGACATAAGGTTTAGGATGACGGATGCAAAAGGTTGTTAAGTGAATTCTAATTGCTTAAACTGTTAGTCCTTACGATTTTTTGGTTAGCTTAACCTGGGTCTATTTGTTCAGGGTTGGAGAGAAAAGTATATCTATTCCGGAGAATGATTTTTACTTTCTCGTGACTAGTATAAGCTAAGGTGTTAACTTACTTAATCTTACTTAGGGGTAGTGATTGTGTTCAAGGGTTGGAGAATAGTAAATCGATCCACAAGGTTCAGGTAGAATTAGAACGCGAGTAGTTCGTTAGATACTATTTTAAACTTACTAAGTCTAAGATTTATCCTGGGTCTGGTAAGAGGGGGGAGTCAAGTGAAGGATGAATAACCGAAGTTCTTCACTGTTTATCCTAATTTGAATGATTAGTTTTGTTTAAAAATTTCTATTAGTCTTGGGTCTTTAGAAAGGGTTGGATAGTGAATCGACGTTTGAGGTCGTTAGACACTAGTTAAGTGGGTGGGGGAGAACAAAATTGTTCTTTTTGATCCAAGGATAGGCCTTGATGATCAAGTTCGAAATTTAATTAACTAGATAATGATTTAAGATCCAAGGATAAGCCTTGATGATCTGATTTTAAAATTAAGTGAATTTAAGTTTTAATAAAGATTTAAATTTATGTAACGAAAAGATTTAGTGTTTTGATGATATTAGTGAGCTTATGAATGCTGTTATGTTTTAGGTGATGAAGCTGGAACAACAGAATGATTTATGATTACTAGCCATTTATTGTCATGCTACTAATTTTTATTTTTATTTTCCAATAAATATTTTTCAAACATGTTTTGTATATTACTGCAGAGTTTAGGAAAACGATCTGAGATCTTTTTATCAATCGTTATTGTATATTAATAATTTTGTTTAGCGCCTGAAATGATTTTGAAGATTAACTTCAAAGTTTTATGTTTGCAAATGAAAATCTAAATTCATTGCCAGTAGTATTCTAAATATAAAAGTTTGTTCTGGTTTTTGCCGAACTATCATATAACTATATGGCAAGTTTCTACTTTGTCGTATGTCGTCTCTGGTTCGAGGTCTTTTTCCAATTCCGGGTAGTTCTGCTATGGTTCGGAATATTGGCTCTGATCTATTGAGTCGTAGAGACATTTCGATTAAATTATTGTCGTATAACATTTTGTAAATGTTTTTGTCTAGTTTCTAATCTATTTTGGTTAATTCTAGCTATTAAGGTCTTGTTCGAGACTTATGGTCGCACCAGATGAGTTATGACCGATGGGTATAACTCATAGAGTAATTTCGGATAGGGTACACCGTCTGCTCGTCACGCTATCTTATTTTCGGCCGGATAGATTCGTGCAACTTCTTAGTCTAATACCGATCCTAATCTTACTCTTATACTATCTAGTCTCAGGTTGTTTAACTAGTCTCTGCTAGGCTCAATAGATCTAGGGTATACTGGTTTATTGCGGCTGCTGAAGTACTCGGGAGAGTTCAACTAGTTTCTAAGTTAAATTCAAATCTCTCTGGTGCTGAAATTACAAGTAATTTCAGCACTTACAAATAAGTGGGTTGTTAGTTAGATGGATCATGATTGGTTAATATTAAATACTTTACATTGGTAAAATATCTAATTTATCCAATCATAAAATGTAGTTTAGATCAGGTTCCACTCCCCTAGCTCGATGGTTCAGCTTCATTACAAGTAGCTATAACCCCCATGCTTGAGACAACAAAACTTTGGAGTTCGATTCCAGTTAATACATTTTTTTCGTGCAATTAGAAAGTTTTGGCTAATTTAGATGATAGTCTGTCTGCTTATTTTTGTCTTCTTAGTTCCGCAGAAAAGGACTTTTTTTGACATTTTGGCTTTTGTGTAGCATTCCCAAAGCTCTTTGTAGAAATTCTAATGGTGCATGCAATTTAAAAATTTGAAATTGATCGATAAAAAATAGCTTTTAAATAGGAGCTTTTAAATAGGAGCTTTTAGGAGCTTTTAAATATTTTTCTATTTATTCTGTACTATAGGTGGCGATTTAATCCGGAACAACGCTTTTAAATTTGAAGTGAGCAAAACTACTTGGTATGATTATGCTCGTGATTAGCCATTTTTATTCTCGCGGCTAGCGGTTCACGTTTCTCTCAAGTATTGTTTGGTTTGCGGAAGTGCCTTTTCGCATCTCTGTCAGATAAAGTTGTGAACCAGGTTAGAGGTTTCAGTTTCTTAGATGGTAGTTTTTTTTTTATTTTGGATGGCTATTTTTCGTATCACTCTATGGATTGTTTTTTTTTCGCTTAGGCTTGCAAAGAGCGCTTTTGCTTCTTCGTTTTAGTTTTCCTCGCCGTATAATAATAGTTTTTTTTTTCAGGCGGAAGAGATTTAGTTGAGAAGCTACTGGCGGATGAAGAGTTGTGTGCCAACAAGAATGCAATCGCTGGTCTGAAAGACATTCAGACTATTCTGGAGTTCTGCGAAGTGTTGTCCATTTCAGACAAGGTACGAACTTCGAATACGACGTCCTTGTTCCACTTTCATTCGAGAAGGACCAAACCACACTGTTAATTAATGTGAAAGGTCTTTTGCAATGCAACAGCTGGTCCTGTAAAAAGGCCTCTCTTCCCCGCTGGCTGGCGCTGTCTCATTTTTGAAAATATGCAATGCTTGAGTTAATGCTACCTTGAGGTGGTTGAGGCGGTAGATGTTTTACACAAGCTCTTTGTCGGTCTTTGTTCCCGAAGCAAGTGGCACTTTTAGTGTATTGTTGATGAGTTAGGTTGCTCGTCGTTACCTTTTGCGTCTGATTTGAGGCAGGTTTCGTTCGACATGAGTCTAGCACGTGGTCTGGACTACTACACAGGAGTGATTTACGAGGCAGTTCTTTTGGGGGGCACAGAGTCTACAAACACAACAGACGACACAGCCGCCGAGAATGGAACAGGGGACTGCAACGAGCCCAGTGATGGAGAAGAGGCTGCCGCTGCCAATGTAGGATCTATAGCGGGGGGTGGAAGATACGACAACCTGGTCGGAATGTTCGACTCCAAACATCAGAAGGTGTGGCAGGCAGTTCAGTTTTTACCTTCAGTACTTACCATCATTCTGCTGTAACCCACTTGCATGAAATATAATTATTTCAGTTGATAATTTTCAAACTATGTCCCATCCTCAAATTTGGAGTGCGAATAAAGTATAAGTTTTGTTTCCGTTTATCTCGTTTCATCTGAACAAGAGTAGAGTGTCCTTGTGGTAATGGAGCAAAATATTCTGAACACAACTACTGTCGCAATAGCAGAAGTTTCTACATGTTTTGTACCGACCAAGTCACAAAAACGGATTTTAATTTTCAGATTTCCCAGCGGAATGAAAACCTTACCATTTGATCCATTTTTCTCAAGTTTGGTTCATTTTATCACAAAAGCACCAATCTAAAATTGTTCTTGAACTCCAAAGAACTTTTAGAGCATATAATTTTTCTGTATACTTCGAAAGTTTTTTTAATGACGTTTTTCTCTGTCCTTGCGTTTATTACTAAATTCTAATGTCTATTTTTTCAATTTGTAGAGCTGTTGTTTTGCTGTCTCGCTAGTGTCGCTGAAGCGCAACTTCGCCTCTGTGCTTATCTTTGTTTGCCATTTTACCAAGAGGCAACCCACGTCGTTCAGACTCTTTTATAGGTCGTGATGATTTTTTAAGGAACTGTGTTAAAATGCGCTATTTTTTTTACAGAAGTGCTTCATTTTAAAAGTAATGTTTGTGTTATAGCATGAACTATATTTTGTTCCAATCCAAGTCGCAAATGTTGTTGCGATAAAATTTGTCCATTTTGAAAGTGTTCAATCTGATCAAAAACCAGCTATTAAGTACAGCCAATGCTAAGGATATTAACGCAGACTATTATTGTTCGGACATACGTAGCGAAAGTAGCGGAATATTTGTGCTCGGGGTGGTTTTTCTTCAAACAAATTTCGACTTCTTAAATGGCCATTGTTGACGGATTTTTTTGTATCATTCAAAAAGTATTGTTGTCCTGAGCTAAACTTTGGGAAGATATTTCACCAGTGATAATTTTTCCTAAAGTTATGGGGGTTTAAAAATTGCCCTTTTTTTGGCCAATTTGGGTCAATTAACGCGCGATATATTTCGCGCTATTAACGCGTTAGCGGAGATTAAATCCGTCATTGAAATGTTCCAAATTGGTTAAAGGAAGCTTATTTGCCATAATTTATATATTACTATGAGAGAAATTTATCACTTTGTTCTTAATATAGCGTGTGGGGAGATGATTTTTACAAAAAATCTCAAATTAAAAAAAATCGTTTATTACAGTTAATTTTTTCATCTTGTTACTGCTCCAAAGAAGACTGCTGTATAAGTTGAGGCATGTTAGTTGGTAAATTTCTTTTTTTTTTATCAAAGTGACTGGTACTGCTAATGCTTCATAATTGGCGTGCGTCACTTAAGAGGCGTGCGTCACTTAAGAAGCTTTCGTCATAGTTTGCTTGTGTATGCGAAGTGCAATAGTGCATTTATGAATGCTTTCAGTTAGATGTGCAATATTTGAGTTTAATAGCTGAATTTCACTCTCCCATTTCGAAAGTATAACGTTCACGAAAAACGTGATCAACTTCTTGGGCGAAAGTGGCATTTTTCAGTTTTTCCAACAGAACTTTTTGATCCAATTTTGTCAATCAAGGCGATTCAATTTCGGTGAAAAAAAAGTGTCAATCGTAAATTGTACCTGTCATATTTTTAGTACTTGAAGAAGTTTTTTCATAAAAAAACAATAAAATTTTTAAATGTTTCTTTGCATGCATTGATTCCTTTCCAACTGTCTGCTAGATTTTTTGAAGTTTCAATGCGCGCAGTAATACAATTATCTATCTTTATTTTTTTAAGAAAGTCTTAGAATTTTGTTTAAGTTTTGGTTCAATTCAAAATTATTTGCTGAAAAGAAAGGGCCACTCCATCTTTTGCTTCTATCTCAGCTTTCACTAGAGATCCTCGTACAAACTCTATGAAACACGAGGGTTCTTTGCCATTTATCATTTTTTATCATACCAGAAGACAAAAATCAGCGAGCTCAATACTTGCATCTTCATCATGATATAAAAACACTTACCTCCTATCAAATCTATACGAAGCTACAAGAAATGATTTCGAACAAGCTTTGGAGCATTTGAAATTTCGTTATCGGGAGACCTACTGAATACGAGAAAAGTACTCTGGTTTTTGAAATAGATATTTTAAATCCGAAACTGAGGATGCAATTGCTGTTTAACCAATTTGAATGGTATAACAAGTTGAGCTGACGAGCTAAACAGGCGAATTAAAAACAAGTCATCCCCAAAGTGCCCTACAAAAGCAAGATCGTACATCCTAAGAACTTGCCCGTAAAAAACTTATGAAATCTGCTCTTTTCTTCACCGCAGAAATCAAGGATACAGAATCAAGTTTGACGAAAAGCTAAATTGCGCAGTTGCTTGTAATTGAATTCAAATCAACGATTTTCGTTGTTTCACTGCAAAATCAACTTTTTCTAGCTACGTGCAGCCATCTAAAACGCTGTAGTGAAAATGGAGACGAAAACGAACTATCGAGCTTCGACGACCAGGTGGATTATTATGTCTATGACGCCTATCTATATACTCGCAAAGTTTATTCTCACCTGAAGAGCAGGAGCGAAATCAGTTCGCCGATGAAGAACGATCTGAGACAGCCGAATATAACTGGGTACGCTGGACAAATAGTTGTTAGTAGTTTTGCAAACTGCAGCTGCGAACCTCATTTTACAAAAGGGTATCTGAAATATCTCTCGTACCTTGGCGTTACGATTCCTTTTCAACAATACTTTTTTTTACAAACGATTCCTTTTGAACAAAAGGTTCTTTTATTTTCATTATTTTAATATGGGCGAAAAATATCTATATTTTTCACTTTTTCTTGTTTTTTTTTGGATTCTTCAACTCAAAATTTGCACTCGTGAAAGAGTTAATTTTTGAACAATATGCACAGTCACAGAGAACTTTAAAAAAAACTGCGAAGCCTTTCCGATCCTACCAATCTAGTAAACTAATGATCTTTGCGTTATTTCGAGGGCAAAATGTATCCATTTAAGATTATGTGTTTTAATTGGATTGGTTGTAAACACTTAATGTTTATGAAATTTTTTTATGACAACAGTTTTGTTTTCGGCTCAATAGGTTTCGATCCAAAGTTTCTCGCCTTTGTTGCCGCTATCTAAGTGCTTTCTTTTTTAAGGGCTGTCAATGGACTACATTTGATACAAACATGAGTTTTTTGTTGCGGTTATTTTCCAACTTCTGTCTAGCTATTTTTCAAGTAATTTTTTCCAACAATTTTTCAGAACTTTTTTTAATTGCTTTTTTTATTCTCTATTTTGTACCGCAATGTGTATTTTGCATCGCAAGTGTTGCGAAGCTCCGCTTGGCTTCTGTGTGACGAAATGTTTCAAGGAATTTTTTGTCGGATTTGTGGTTTTGGGCCTAGTTTCTGTCGGTTCGTTTCCCGTTTTTTCTAAAATTTAATACTGTTTTGTGGTACTGTTTTTTGGCTTTTTTCTTAAGCATGAATTTTATTTTGATTTTGAAATTGTTTTGGAAAATTTCGGTTTGTTTTATGATATAATTACCCTTGCGATAGTAAGGGTATTGCAATTGGGTATTGGACTTTTTTTTTACCATAAACAACTTTGTCCTCAGAACTCATTGAACTGGTGGTGCTTCAAAATGAGTTCAAAATTTGTAGTGTCTCTTGATCGCTTAACCTAGTGGTAACGACTATGTCTTGGACGGCAAATTCCTGGGTTTGAATCTGACCTGGATCAGTTTTTTCAGACAGTGGTTTTTCTGCTTCAGAAAAAGTTTCGGTCCATTATTTGTCTGCTTATGTTATGTCGACTTCAAATTTCATTTTCCATTTTCGGCTTTTTTATCGGCTTTATAAATTTCAGCCTAATTACTAGTGACTTAGTGGCCTCTTATTGCATCGTTACGTCCGAAAAATGTCTTTTTGCGCGAGTGTGTGCTCTGACTGGAAAAGGGACTGGAAGTTTTTTTATGTTTAGAATTTTTCCGAATTTCTTTTCGGCATGAAGGGTTACTTTTCTGCTCAGGTTGTTTCGGCTTTATTACGGCTTGTTAATTATAAGTTCAAATCAAATCAACCATCCGGCGTATCTGGTGTAGAGTTAAAAACAACTGCTTGAGATAGCAAAGATTTGCGGTTTGAATCCGCCCGGGCGCTTTTTTTTTGCAACCTAGAGTTTTTTGTGCTTTTTCGGATTATCGTCCGTCTGTTTATTTTTGTCTGCTTAGCTCCCCTAGCTCGATGGTTCAGCTTCATTGCAAGTAGCTATAACCCCCATGCTTGAGACAACAAAACTTTGGAGGTCGATTCCAGTTAATACATTTTTTTCGTGCAATTAGAAAGTTTTGGCTAATTTAGATGATAGTCTGTCTGCTTATTTTTGTCTTCTTAGTTCCGCAGAGAAGGACTTTTTTTGACATTTTGGCTTTTGTGTAGCATTCCCAAAGCTCCTTGTAGAAATTCTAATGGTGCATGCAATTTAAAAATTTGAAATTGATCGATAAAAAAATAGCGAGATTCTATTTTGTGACTTCAAATATGCATCTCTCGCTTGGGCCAATTTTTGGTTAATTCGATTGATTTAGTGTTTTTTTTAATGATTTAGTTTTTTATGAGTTCGAAAATTGCGAAATGACAAACTTGGTGAATTAATGGGAGCTTTTAACTATTTTTCTATTTAACCTGTACTATAGGTGGCTATTTAATCCGGAACAAAGCTTTTAAATTTGAAGTGAGCAAAACTACTTGGTACGATTATGCTCGTGACTAGCCATTTTTATTCTCGCCGCTAGCGGTTCATGTTCCTCTCAAGTATTGTTTGGTTTGCGAAGGTGCCTTTTCGCATCTCTGTCAGAGAAAGTTGAGAACCATGTTAGAGATTTCAGTTTTTTACATGGTAGTTTATATTTTTTTTCGGATGGCTATTTTTCGTATCATTCTATTGGATT